CCCCCCCCCCCCCCCCCCCCCCCTCATCGGTTCTCCCCCTCGGTCTCCTCCCTCCTTCACCCATGTCAAAATACAGCGGCGAATTCTCTGTCTATAGGAATCACTAGAATATCACTACATTCAATAAATGATTAGCTGTGGCTAGAAAACAATTCCAACTGGTAGTGCTTTAACTCCCAACCAACAACTTAATACCGGCCACATTCTCCTTCATTTGTAATTGCCATAAAATCTACTTACATGTCTACATTCAGACGAAATCAATGATTTCTGTACTTTGTCGCGAAGATTGCCTAGCGTAGGTGGTATAAACAGGGTTTCTATGAGATTAATTGAAATGCAACACTAGTTGTTAGCAGTCAGGATAACGCTTCAGCAAGAGCAGTCATATCACGATTAAAATAATATTAATGTAGGAGGCGACAAATTTTGCAGAGTTCCGAGTAAGTTAGTCTTCATTCAGGAAGCACAAGTGCTTTGTTAAAAGGTACAATTCAATCACTGTTCCCTAATATCAAAACATGTCAACAACGATGCCAATTAATTATGACAAGGATATAAATAGAGAGTACTGGGTAGGGATCAAATGTGTAGGGAATGAAAAACGGGGCCAGGTAGCAGGGTGATCTCATTAGAATGGAACGGCGTTCGGTGCGTACTTTGTACTTTGATGTGTGGTGGCGGCCTCGGCCTTGTTTTCTCCAACTAACATCGACCACCACTTGCATCCGCAAGGGCCGTTAGCTAAATGAGGCTCTTCACACCTCCACATTTCCTAGACAAGAAGGGTTGTTCCGTCATTCCGGACTTTGGAGAGTTTACGGTATTGAAAATAGGTGTGGTGGCGGCCTCGGCCTTGTTTTCTCCAACTAGCATCGACCACCACTTGCATCCGCAAGGGCCGTTAGCTAAATGAGGCTCTTCACACCTCCACATTTCCCAGACAAGAAGGGTTGTTCCGTCATTCCGGACTTTGGAGAGTTTACGGTATTGAAAATAGGCCGATAAATTGTGTACACATCAACTGCTTTCTAAGGAGTGACCGCACAGACCAACACATCCAAAGGACAACTGCTGCGCTCACACTTGCAGCCCAAGGATTTCGTGTCTTTTGCATTGCTTTAATAAATAAATAACAACGATAATGATGGGATGCTTTCACGATGTGACAATGAATATCATTCATTTATTAGAATTTCTCATAATTTATGAATTGAGTCTTGTATTAATGATGTACAAGTATTTCGACTGAGCTCTTGAAGTACCCGAACAGATACTGAAGATTAGAACGGTACAATCCAATCAGCGTTCGTTTCCGGTGAGACTACAGACATTTTCCTTGGATTGACAAACTTCGGTAGTCGGGATGACACAGGTGACAGACTTTTCAGCGAATCACTGAAAAGGATGAGATAAGTGGTAGAAGAAAAGATATACATGCCAGGAAAAGTCGTGATTTTGTCAGTATCTCCATATCTGTCTTAAAGTCACAGTTCACGATGAAAATAACTTATGAAATTTTGCGCTAGGATAAATCTGTGGTCCTTCTGTACAACACATATGACGCTGTCAGGTAGGAAAACGGCTTAGATGAGGCCTCATAAAGGCCCAAAGATCGCATCGTTGTATCCCCGGACGAGTTTCGCCGGCACGTCACAGCAATCCCGTACAACCTCTACTTTCACTACGTTTGAGGAGCCTTATTTTTCGCAAAATCGATGAATTTTCTCGCTTCCTTCACCACCGATGCACTACTACCAACGAACACTTCCGCTTTCCGACTTGTAAAGGGTACCCCGAAATTATCGTGAACTGGGTCTCTAGTTTTGAAACAAGGTGATTTTCGTGATCTACTCCAAACAACTATTCTTTTTACATAATAAGCGAGCCAAATCTTACAAATTTTTCTAAAATGACCTAAATAAATGGAAAGCCGCCGAATCAAGCTCTGACGTGTGCATTGTTTGTAAGCTCTTCGTTCATAATCTGTATGTACTATCTAAATATAATATAGTGCACATGCTTACCTCTCACTGCTCCCCTCGACACTCTGCATTGGCGGCCTCAGTGGTCTCTCTTCGACACCCTCTTCCTCCTCGTTTATGAATTTTTCGGGTTTCGTTTTCCGTGCTTCGTGTTTCGATTTCCGTGGTGGTGCTGCCGTAGTGATCCCCATTAGACGTTGGAAAGAAGGCGGCATTGTAAGCGTAGGAAGAGTAGGCATGGGAATCGTTGCAAATGTGGGTAGTGTCGGAATGGACATCATCGGCGGGAATGTGACGAACTGTACATTCATCGGTACCATAGATGGCATAGGAATAACGGGTACCGAAAGCGGTGGTCGAACTATTTTTGCTTTTTGAGGGCTGGGTGAGGAGCTTGCAGTGTGAGGGGCTCGTCTGACTCCAGTTGATGTCCGTCTGAATCCTCGCGCACGTGGTGGAGCTGCACCAGCCGGCTTGTAGACAGGTGCCCTAAATGGGAACCGGTCATTCGTGTGTTTTTCGTGGGATATCGCTAAATTAAAAGCATTACAAACCTTCGGATTTCCCTTTGCGCTGTGGATCGTATCGGTGATGCCCTCGGAACCTCTTCAACACCATAAACATTCAGGACTGAAAATGAGAAATTCACTGAATCATCGGATTATTTATTGAAAAGGGCTTGCTCGCACTGAAGTAAGAAATCATCTCTTGAGCAAAGGAAAGCAGGTATCTCAGGAGGGTAAACTGAATGTTTTGAACAAAGACTGACCAAAGGCTAAAAGCAGAAGTTGTACGAAGACCACCATCCTGAGTGACAGTGAAAGTCTGACCTGGATTTGCTATCTTCGCTCCATGGAAAGGGATAATCGAACCGGAAAACCGCGGCTATCTTATGATTATGATACGTAGATAGCATAAGACACAATGGATCTGTGATCGTAATTGTTATCAAAAACTGAGAGAGAGAAAGTCGTACTCTCACATTTAAGGAAGAGGGTAATCGTTATCAGCGAAGAAACCCAATGATCTCTTGGTAAAATTGACGGTCAACTTGTAATAACTAATAATTCGAAGTCATCCGTTTTTTCGAAAGCTCGTTAACTACTTCACTCCTATTTGGAAAACGATGGAACGATCTGCTCAACATTTTCACCGTGCCAGGTGATGGCAAAGGTCAAAAAAAAAGTGATTGGAATAATCTTTAGCACTGCATCAGGTCTTGGACCTTCCTAATTCTACTCTACCACTTTTTTTAATCTCATGCTAATGCTGAAAGCTCTTGCTTTGCTATATAAGCTACGCTCCATTTTGTTATTCCCTCTGCAAATTATGAAGTTCATGAACTGACATTTGTAATGGACGTCTCGTTTTCTCTGTCGCCCCCTTATCGACTTGCTTGCCGTAATTCAATATTATACATGTAAATTTGAAGAAAATTACAGTTTCCGTAGCCCGGCTTCATCCCGAGCAAGTGTGCCAAATTGAAAGGGACCAGTGGGACCTACCGTAAACCGTGTAGCTATGTTGCAAGAAGCATAAGCCCTACCGCCTCCCTCATATCGAACTCGCTTCTATTTTGATGAGAATAGTTCATTATTCGAGCATTTTGCTGATTTCAGTCGACACCGGTACCACACGCTCAAAGTTCGGTATATCCTCCATCTTTTCCTCTGTTCTTCTCCCTAAGACACTTTGCCTGCCATGAGCACGAGACCTTTCCTCTATTCAGTCACGTCCTAGTACTCTATGGAAATAGTTGCAGATTCTGACTTAAGTACACAACTCGTGGACTGGCCGTCCACCACCATTTCGTTGCTTTGCTTCTTGTAAGACAATCTGCTATTTTCTGCGTAAGATCATTGACCTTGTGTCTTGGCATGGGCGATGAAAGCCATCCCTCATCTGAAGAGCGTCTCACCGATCTACTCATGGAGAAACATCTGTACTCGAATTATTATTATTACTCTTTGAATTTGAATTTATTCTAAACGACTGGATAATTCCTGTCAGTAGTATGTCGAACATAAAGGATGGGAATGCTTAAGGGTAGCATTTTCACCACTGCAAGGGAACGATAACCTTTTATCATGATTTCACGATCGTGTTTTATCATCACAAAAAAAAGCGTATGAGTAAAAGTTGAACCACTAATAAACCCTTATTTTATGCCAACAACAAAGCCGGGTATAGAGAAGCATAAATAAACGTAACGAAAGATGATGGAAGAATAAGATATCACATATGACTTAATACGCAACAACTCATATACATATTAATAGGCAACAACTCTTTTCGATAACTCTACATGTAATAAATTAATTCTGAAAAAGGTTATTATGATACAGCCACAGCCCTTCGATCTCGTTGCGCAATGTTAATCTGAAAAAAAACCGTTGGATATTTGACGAGAAGGCGCGGGAAAGCCTCATCAAAGGACTTTTCAACGGAAAACGACATAAAAAATGGCTTGATGTGTAATTTCATTTCGTATTAGCTAGGAAAAAACTGGATATCAGGAACCGCTAATCACTTTCAAACCCTTTACTAGTCCATTATTAGGTCAACAGTCTTACGAAATTTACGCCTAAAACTAAGGACAAGTAAGTACATCATCGAAATCAAAGAGAATGAGGACTGAAAAATTACCTTGTCTCCCAAAGTTAGAGCCATGCCCTGACTCTTAGCTCGTATTCGAATGTGCCCGACAATTGGAGACCCTTCATCCATAGGAGAAGCCTTTTCAATCGATACATTTGCTAAGGCATCTTCGCCAAAGATAGAATGTGCGCAGAGATTAGCAGCCAAAAATCCACAATCTCCTTCTAAAATTGGAACTACTAGGAGCATACGAATATAAATTGAGAAACATTCGACATACGAATAAATACCAACCTATCGCAGCATCTCCTGTCAACACCTTCATGTTCGTGACCGTAGACAAATACTGGAGGAATTCTCGCAAGTCAGTAATGGGCGTATTGACGGTGACCTGTAATGCTAGAAAGTGTGAGAAAATTCAAGCAGTGTGCTTAACGTTTCGAGGATACCTTGTTTTCCCACTCAAAATCGAACCACATTTGCCTGAACTCAGCGTCAGTAACATTGCCCGGGACGATATAATCCTGAAAGTCAAGTTCTCAGCATGTGGGGATTCATGAAATGTAAATGACAAATACGAAAAGAGGCAGGACTGACCATAATATCGATCTTGATGTCTTGGAGATAAACGCAATTCCTATCTGATGTTGATCCCCGCACATCATACGATATCGTTGAGAAAATAACACCGTTTTCCGTAGAAGCAACTTTCACAGTAGCCTGATGTAAGAGCAAATAGGTAGAAAATTAAAGTAAAAAGCAGAGCCTGGTGCAATTCGATTGAGCTGAATATTGCCCATCCGCTTGCAGCCCCACGAGGACAGGCTTTGAGTGGATGTCCCTAATGTCGAAGTTCACCGAGATCTCAAAAGCGGGACGGCGTTTATTTCGTAGTACTTTGGAGTGCCAGTGAAAAAACGTCCTAATTTGCATGTGCCCACCGGCAAACGGAAACAATCGGCGCACAATCAATTCAGCAAACGCTTACCTTTATGTTGGCAAAGTCAGCTGGTGCCAAAGTGATCGGAGTGGGTTTGTCAACAAGTTTTAGGTCGCCCACTGTAGACAGTTCCAACGAAACGTTTTGCAGTGTATCACCAGTTTGATTAACAATGAGTACGTCAAGAACTGAATGAAGTTGTGATGGATTGGAAAGTCTTTTTTTATACACACAATAAGTAGCTGAGGATTTCAGATGGAAGTGGCCATTTGCAAAGAGCCATCCTCTACTGGCATGCGTATTTTTGGATGTTGATCTTGATTTTGAATTGCAAAACTACAAGCATTTCTCGAACAACTTTCGAACTACCCCACAACTTTTGAACCGTTGCCCTCACCTTATTTTGAGCCACGAAGCATTACTTGCGCGAAAGAAGTTTTTGGGAAGGCTATAGATCTTGTAAGAAATAAAATCATCTATTCATGATCACAGGCCTGACATAGAATAAAATAATAATAATAAAATCATAACAGACACTTGATGCGCCCAGAGCAAGTTTGCGTAAATAAATGGCAAGTCTTTAGCAAGCAACTTCAATTAAGAAGCTTAAAGTAAGCTCGAACTCATCAGGCAGCGCTCTGTTGGACGAACGAACTGCGAAGGAAGAAAATGTACCAAAAAGGACGAACTCCCGACATTAGTTTCCTCTTCACTGCTAACTTATCTCTAATAGTGTGCAACTGGTTGCAGATTTCGTTTACCAGTGTTCCCTACTTGCTATTCTTTCTAATCGTTTAAGGACATGTAAAACAAGATCTAAAATCTCAGCTCAGAATATCACTTGTAGCGTTGAGAAGCTTGTTCGAGACCAATGCCCATAAACAAGAATGGACATTTTACAAATGAACACACCAATCTGAAACCCTCTCTCATGAAAGGACTTAATAAGGACTTAATAAGAAAAAAGAAGACAGAAAAGATGATCTCAATACTCACCGATGTCGTACTGGTTGACGTTGACGTAAGCCTCTGCGTATATCGGATCAGAGAAACCAGCCAATTGAATAACTTTTCCTAACTTCGAGCTTGAAAATAAAGAAGTCAAGAATTGTACTATGAAGGTTTACGAAACTGTACGAAAGTCAAACATTTCCTCACCTTGAGAAATCGAACTTTTGTGTTTTAGGAGCAGTTCCTAAAGCCTGAGAAAGGGAAAGGTCGAAGAGGTTTTCTCCAATACTTGCGTCGGCTCTAGCACTCAGTTGCGTGAACATAATGGTTTTATCGACCTGTGAAGGTATCGGTATTACCTCATCCAATTTTGAGTTAACTGTAAAGAAAAACAAGTTATACCTCAACAATATTTTTCTTCTTCTTTGTTGCAATTTCATCGGTTTTATCTTGCTGTCGGCTTGACAACATCAGTTCCAAGCTATCCTTACATCTTTCGACGAAAACATCCTCCAACTCAGAGCATCCTTGAGCAAGCAACTTGATAGTTGTTCCCATCCTAAAGCAGTTACCTTCATTTTATAAGAAGGGAACGCTTGCAAGATCAGTTTCAAACCTATCGAGATCATCTTCGGTAATATTTTGCTTTGCAATACCGCTCTTTCCTAGATTGATTATTGAAGCGAGAATGAACATGCATTCTGCACGGAAACGATTCGATCGCTGGGAATTTGCTGAACAGTGCGATTGAATATCATACAAAATAATCAAATAGACAAACGACAGGAACCTTCGTTATTTTTGGTGAATTGCTCAGCAAGCTTGTTAAGTACAGTAGCCAGAGAAGCCCCAAGGAAGAAATCTCCATCGAGAAGGAACTGCCTACAAACTTTTTGCATGAAGATGCACCAAGCACCATCAGACTCAGAAAAATATGAATAGATGAACCTGAGCGATGGCTTTTCTTTATTGGCAGCTTTAGTCGAAACAGAGAGAGCCGACTGGGTAGCGTAGGTTCCATCAGCCGTGACTAGCCTCTTCGGAGCATTCTTAAAATGTATGACAATTCAAACGCCTCTATGTGGGACATTGTCCATTTTTTACACGGAAACCTTTTTCTCTGCAGTCTCTTCGTGAGTTGGTTCTTCTCCCTCTAAGAGACGCATTTCACTTTCCACAATTGGCAGCTCTCCAAGGGACGACTTGATGAGACGCAGTACTGCCAATACAGCGGCATCAGATTCACAGTAGGTTCCAAGAATCCACAATGCTGCCATGAACACCTTTGGTTTGCGAATAGATGGAAGACCTTCCTGCAAAACCCTCCATAACTACTGAAATAATGAACTCCTCTAAACGAAAACTGAAAGTCGGAAGTTAAGAAGGAAAGCGTCGAAAACAACTTTGCCTTCACTTGAGCCCTACGAGAACCGTGTCAAAAACATACCTGCAGCGAGTGAAGAATAGTCTCCTTTAAATGAGGTAACTTGTGTACGGCTTCACGCACAAACAACAAGACGTACTGAGCGGCCATCTCATTCTCATCGGAGAGGAATTCCATGAGCACTGAACAATTATAATAATAAAGTTTGTTAGTGAAATTTGAAATAGAAAAATCAAGCTAACCTGGCACAATGGACGGGGCGACATCAGGGAACTTAATTGTGGCTGCGTGAAGAGTCTTTACAAGTGCTTGGCGATACCTTCCAGCCTCCTCAGCAGATGCGGAAGTGGACTTGGCTATTTCCTAGAATGCACATAATTCGAAATATTTCACCCATTCGCAATAATCGAGTTTATGCATTTTCGATTATTCGCATGAGAAAAGATCTGCTTCTTATTTGATTTTCTTACAACACACTCCAAATGATTAAGAATACCTAACGTTTAGACTCAAGTAGTTCGACCAAATATTCAAGATCTCATCAGCAGTAAAAGAAAGAGGTGTTCTGGAATTCTTTACAAATAAACCAACCTTTTTCAAAAACATAACCATGTCTTCAACATTCCTACTTGAGACAAGGTCAAGGGCGAGATTGAGTGTTTTCTGGCGCACGTCAAGACCTGGAGATGATAATACCTGAAATAGCGGACATAGCAGCAGTTTGTCTAATTGAATCTATGTGGATAAAAGATCTAATCTACAGCTCAGAACGTAAATTGACATTCTGAACAAAAAATTTGTGAAAACAAACCCTCAAGATATCCATGACAAGTTCTTGCAAGACCTTTTCATGAGAAGGCGTTTGACGAAGATCCATAAGTCTATCGAGAACTATTAGCTAGAAATAGTAATAATAACGCATCAGCACAGAATCGTCAAAGCTCTAAACATTGTCGTTACCTTAACGTTGTTATCACTCTCTTTGACAATAAGGTCGATATATGCCGTGGCCGCAGCTTTTATAGCAGCAGGAGCAGCCGAAAGAGTAACAAGTGTTCCAGCAGCTTCATACCTGAAGTTTCATAAAACATGTTAATCAAAACTGGGAACGAAAAAAGATAACAGAGAAAATGTTTAACCTGACAGCAGCTGATGATGACTGAAGGAGGTTGTAGACACATCGTATGAAACGCGACCTTTCAGCGGGGTTGGCGTGGCAAACCTCAAAATTTTCAACTGATTTTCGGAAAACTCCAGCATTCAAAACCGCATCTACGTGCCTTTGACTCAGAGATTACATCGAGAGAGAGAGAGAGCTGAGCAGAATTTGGCTAGATAAAGATAAAAGTGGATAAAAGTGGATGAGTAAGTTCTGCTCATTTGGGCCTGAATTAGGTATAAATATCACTTACCTTGTATATAAGTTCCACAATGATCAATTGCAAGATGTCGCCGAACTGTGCAACTTGGTCGATACAACCTGTAATCGATGAAAACCAGTGCAAGGGGAAACTAATTGAAAATGACGGAGAAGAACCATGGGACAATTAGGCAAACCGCCATTGGAAAGCGTTATGCATATGGACAAAAGCTGTGAACGACTGTTGGAAAATGCTGGCAGCTCATTAAGGACAATTTAGGGAAACAAACAAGGAAACCCACCGGATAAGTAATCAAGGGCACGAGCTTGATCTACGTGCAAGAGCATCATGAATGCATTTCGTTTACATGAAGCGTCTTGCTCGCCTTCCAAGAAATTCGACACCAGTTCAGGGGCATCGGGAATGAGGAATTCGAAATTGCCTGGAAAGCTCATGACGAAATTACACAAAAAATTGTAAAATATCGGAAATAATAATGAAAATTGTTAAGACCACATCCAACGACATCAGTATAATTAAGGCTGAATAGCTGACGAAATGTGGACAGTTCACTTCATGTTGAAATATCATGTTCTACTTCCCCCTTTCCCACGAAACTTCGTCGCTGTTGAACTTCAGCACGCTTGCTTCTTACAACTGACTAGTTATGACTCTCGAACTTGGGAACGTAAGGACCCTTGACTCCGTACCATTCATAAAGAATTGTGACATTCACTCACGGTAGATGGTGAAGATGGCACAGACCGCATTTCTTCGCACATAAGAGTGTCGGTGCTCCAGACATCCAATTATAGAAGGCATTAGTGGCTCCAGCAACTCAGGCTCTTTCAGCTTACATAAGAACCTGGAAACGACGAGGGTTATACTTATGAACCACAACAGATGATATAGGACAAGAACAACTAGAAAGGTTTTGCATGTAGCTTTGCATGAATGTAAAAGCTTGCGTTGAACTAGTCCATTCAGCAAGAAATCGTCAGTGGCAGCCAAAAAAGTTGTTCACAAAACTGCGTATTGCGACAAAGATACAACATAAGAAAAATCAGGCCCACTCAATTTGAACTCAGAGAGTAATCGAATCTTTACGAACATAAGACTCGACAAGTAAA